GGATTTAGGGAAAAAAAACGGGCGATTCAGACGAATGAAAAAAAAAAAAAAAGAAGTGGGGGAAGTTGGATGGTATTTTTTTTGCTTGAGAAAGCTAGCAGCTTCACATCCAGCTGTTGACCTGAAGGGAGATCTACCTCATGTTGCCAGTTTTATGCACTGGTTCCTTATTTGCACTATACACACATGTATTAGAGTTTTCAATAATGCACCTAGTGACCGCCCTTCTGAATGGTGCAGAATATGCTCTGTAGACCCGTAGAGAGGGTGCAGAAATATCTGAAGATGTAAAAAGCTAGTAAACTGACATCAAAAGATCAACAAGACCTCCAATCTTCTTCGGCAGCCTTAAGGGCAAAAGGGTGAAAAAATAGACACCTGACATCTATGCACCGCCTGGAAGATCTATGAAGATGTGCAGAGGGTTGCAACCCCCAAATGGTTAATATGATTAACTTCATAAAAACCGCTGAACATCTGGGGCAGACAGTGTGATAATGATGGCTATGGATCTGAACAAATTAAGACATCAAAGCGGTTTCAAGGCCAGGTGGTTCTGTATGGGCAGGAAGGAGGACAGGAAAAATGAGATGAGTGAGTAGATGTCCAATCAATGTGACCAGAGATAAAACATGGAGAAAATAATAGAGCTTGGCAATGAAAAGTGCTAGCTGTCCTTTGGAGGTCAAGATTGCTTGTTGGCTTCCTCTTCATAAGCATTCCCTGTGCCATTCTGAACATATGATGATCCAGATCCCAGGCCATACAAGTGACCACAATATTTTGCATCATCTATATGATCTTCAAAGAACATCTGGAAGAGAAATGTTACATTTTTGATGAACAAGACCAAACTAGAAACGGATAAAACTATGCTATGTTACAAGATGTTTGCTAAATGTTTTCATTTGTGACAGTCTCGCCACTCTAAAGGTGCCCACACACCTTACAATTATCTGCAGATGTTCTGTGGTCAGATGGAAAGGGTGCAACAGATTGGCCCAAGGTGGAGATTACTCCATCCACATAGTTTAGTGTAGATGGAGGAATCTGTTGCACCTTTTGCATCTGACCACAGAAAATCTGCAGATAATTGTAAGGTGTGTGGGCAGCTTCACAGTGGACCGGAAATTAAATAGTAAAGATTTACCAAGTGTTAGGGAACCTTTAAAATGTTACTTGTGCCCAAGAAATACCCAGAAACAAAATCTACCCCGTGCCATGGATTCTTCCTAACATATAGCAATGCACTTCCTGTGCCTTGAGCCTCCTAGCTGTACAACTGCAGTGTGAGATCATCTAAGGCATTGTGCCTCCAACTGCTAGTCTCACAAGATTTACTGCTCCCTGTTTTCCTTGCTGATGATCAAGCTGAACTTCATGACCTGCAGACAATCCTCTCTCTATGCTTTATTTATTCTGTGCATCTTTGCTTTTTGAACCTCTCCGACTGCTGCATGATCATTCCTTCATCAGATCACTAGTCATTGGGGGTTGGCTCGGACATCAGGGAGCCATCCCCGCCTCTACCCCAAGACTGTGACACTGAGAGACAATGCCAGTAAATGAGAAAATAAAAATCAGCTGCAGGGAGACTACAGGCAATACTAGTGTCTAGCCTTTTGCCCTCTGCCTGCCTGTTCAATCTATATCTCTTTTTAGATCCAGCTACGTCTCTCTGCTGGTCTTTGCTCTGCAGTAAAATTGTATTTGGATAGAGGGGTGGCAGGGTGCCCTAGGATCTTTTTTCAAGAGCCCTCCGAAGCAACTTAGTATGGTATACACAGGAAACACAACAATATCACGAGCCCCTACAACTCACCCTGACCTATGTTTTAGTTACTAAGCTACCCCTACTTACATCAGATTAATACATTCCTTCCACTGAAAGAATAGGAAAGGGCACCGAGCCACCGACATGTAAATACACACATCCTTGGAAGGGTTTATGTAAATACTTGCCCTGCACTGCTAGGATACAGGCTTGAGTAGTGGACATTCCAGGATGGACTGCCACTGTATTTGCAAGCAGGCCACCGCAATGGCCCCCACACATGGTACAGAGTAGTGGTGCACCGAAATGGAAATTTTAAAACCCAAAATAAAAAAAAAAATTGTCAGGCCTGATACCGAAAATGTTTTTTATTTTTTCAAATTTTTCAAATATTTTTTTTTATATTTATTAATTCATTTTTTATTAAATATTTTTCTTTTTTACTTTACTTTTAGGGGCTTCAGGAAAATATTAGGGGTCTAAATAGACCCCTGATATTTCCCTTTTAAAATAGAAAAAGAGATTGAGAACACTCCTCAATCTCTTTTTCTGTGGCCCCTGTTATCAATGAACAGGAATCCTCTACAACTGTTCCTGTTCATTCATAACATGAGGGCAGAGTGTGCTTACTATACCTACAATCATGAATGAACAGGAGGGGATATAGATCACTCCCGTTCATTCATAATTGAGGATATAGCCAACATACCATGTCCTCAATTATCTACAAACACTCAGCGATCGCTGATTGCTGAGTGTTTGTACCGCTCTCCTCTCTGACACGCTGTCACAGGAGGCTGATCAAGCGGTGTAGGGAGGAGAGCCCAACCTCCTGTGACAGCGCTGTCTCCGCCCCCACACCGCTCTGCCGGACTGTGACGGGTGTGGGAGGAGAGACGCCGGCCGCTCACAGCGCTCTCCTCCCGCAGCGCTCGGCTGTCACATTTTCTCTCCTCCCCGCTGGGACACAGAGCAGCGCCCAGCGGGGAGAAAAGAAAGCAGGGATGCGCCGATGTATCGGCAGGAAAAATCAGCATTATGCCAAAAGTGCCATTATCGGCCGATATATATCGGTGCATCCCGAGTACAGAGCCTAAACGATTGATAGAACAAAAAGCAAATAGCTTACAGGCACAGGGGGGAACAGGAGGAAAGGGTTCTGATGATGCTTAAAGTCACCCAGCCCAGAAAAGAGGCAAGCCTAAAAAACCTGTTTCAGCTTCTAGTGCTTCATTCAAACATTGCTAGCATGATCCGAAAATCTGCTTTTATCCCACAATGCCTCATACATCTGAATTCACAAAGAGGAAAAGGGAAGGGGGGGGAGGGGGGGGTATTGTCACAGTGAACCACTGTGAGTTCAGACAATTGCTTTGCACAGTTCAGTTGTCACAACATGTTGCTCTTGGTGTTTAGGCAGGCTCGTAGGATAAGCTTTTTTTGATCAGCACTGTGACATAAAGTAAAAGAAAAAGCTGTGGGAATTGATATTAAAGCTTAAAATCAGCTTCCCCTGACCTGTGACATCAGTCTAACCTTTTCATAGATATGTTGTAGTCTTTAGCTGTACAATTATTTTCTTATATTCTTCTCCATCTAATATACTCTGCCGTGTATTCTGAGAAAATGACTATTGTCTCTTCACTTTTTGAGCCAATGGTAAAAAAAAATATTCTAACTTTGTCTACATCAATGACTGAGTCACATGGTAGTTACTGAAACACTGCGTTATAGCCAGGGGCGTATCTGCCGCGAGGCAAACAAGGCGTTTGCCTGGAGCGGCAGATTCGCTGAGGGCGGCGTTGCTGCCTTGCCTAGGACAAAGCTGCACATCCCCCCCCCGGAATGACCCGCTGATTCCCGCAGATGGCATCACCCACCTCTGTATAGTGCGCTCTCGCCCCCAGCGCCAGCACCACGACACAGAGCAGCAGCCGGTATCTAGCACACAGCGCCGCTGCTGCTTGCGGGCCGTCACGTGACGCGGAAGTCTTCCTCCTGTCATCGGGTCTGCTAGATACCGGCTGCTGCTCCGTGTCGTGGTGCTGGCGCTGGGGCGGGAGCGCACTATACAGAGGTGGGTGATGCTATCTGCCGAGAATCGGCGGGTCAGTCCGGGGGGGGGTGCTGTATGAGCAGCGGCGGGTCAGTCAGGGGAGGGGGGATTTTCCGAGAAGCTGCGGGGGAGGGGGCGGCGCTGCTGCCTTGCCTAGGGCAGCAGCAAAGTTAAATACGCCGCTGGTTATAGCACTTTACATCAGACCTGACATTTTGTAGGAAAGCAGAAATCTCATTGCCCTGCATCTCGTAAATGTGGAATGATATTTGCATTTAGGCAGCATCTTACAGAACACCAACTGTGAATGAACAGTAGGGGTTTGGGAAAACAGAGTTAAAGATGAATGCTTCAGAACCAATCACTGGATACTGTAGAACTTTTAATAGTCCATTTTTTCCAATCAATTCATGAAATGTGCATCTTACTTCTCTCATTTTGAAGAACGCCATTCCGGTCAGTAAGGAGTCTGAGCCCGCTTGGTGCTGAGGTCCTATCCGCTCCAGTTCCAGCTGTTCAGCCACTTCTTGCAGCCCACCCTGTTGGAGAGAACACATTGCATTGTTTTTTTTACCGCTTCTGAAAGGATTTAATTAAAAGCTCAGTTTGTTTCCCATTTTACTGACAAACATACTGACAAGAAGAAAACCATTCAGGGCTACACAAAACCTTATAGAAGATACTGAGGAAATGGGGTGAAACTTGGAATGAACAGGATGAGATAGATGCATGAAAGTAGTCTTCTGGTGACATATTGGGACAAAAACCTGCAAACGCCACCTATGCAGCCCGTGGTGGACTACATAGAACAATAGAAATGGGGGTAGTCTAAAGCTCAAACAGCTGCCTGAAGGACCTTACACCGAAAGCTAGCATCACATGAGGCCTAAACACCCCCCTGGTAAAACAAGCACTCACAGACCTAGTAGAGTGCACTTTGACAGGAAAAGGTAGAACCTCGTCATTATGACCATAATCTGTTGCTGTGAAAGGTGAAGTGTTTCCCTATACAGGGATTATCGGGAAGGCCAAAAGTGAGTATTTCTAATGAAAGCAGTGGCTGAGAGGTAAACCCACACAGCATACAGCCAGTGTAATTTTGACCTACTGGAATCGTACAGAAAGATGGAAGAACCATGTTCTTGGTGAGGGGAAAGGCTGAAATCACCTTAGGAAGGAGACTCTAGGCCTCAATACCACCTTGTTCTTGTGTAGGACCAAGTGGGGTTCTTTGCAGAATGAAGGTGCAAACTCAGAGGTGATAGCAGCATGGAGCGCAACCTTGTGAGTAAGAGTGGAAAGGAGAATATCCCTAATAGGCTCAAAAGGTGGCCTTTAAAGTGCCAAAAGGAGCCAAATTTAAACCCTACAGAGACACAGGAGACTGTACAGGAGGGGCCACATGATAGATCCTTTGTACAAAGATCTTGACCAATGAATGAGTGGCTGCCAGGCTTTTCAGGGCAAAATACTGATCCAGACCTAAATTGCAGAAAAGTTAGGATTCTTCCCAGAAAGTATTTCCTGGGGGTAATATTGTCTTTGTTTGCACCAAGCAAAATCAGCTTGTGTGCTGGTAGACTTTGCAGTAGGTAGACTTCCTAGCTGTTAACAGTGTGTGAATTACTGAAATCACAGAGACCCCTCCATGCGGTTAAAGCCACAGACTTTGATGCAAGTTGGTAATTGAGATAGGAGATCCAGTGGATGCGGAAGTGTCCAAGGGGTGTCTGCTAGAGGGCTAATAAGGTCAGAATACCACATCTGCCTGGACCAGTTTGGAGATATGAGGATAACCGGAATACTCTCCATACCGATCCTGCGAAGTAGAGAAGGAAGGAGTTTTAGGGGAGGAAAGGCATAGAGCAGGCAGTACTAATCCCATGGAGCCACCACAGCAACCTATGCTTCTGCTATAGATCTCCGCATCTGAAGACAAAACTGTCCACATCCAGCTTCAACCACCAGTGACACAGGTCCTGAAACACTTCTGGGTGTAGAGAAAATTCCCCTGGATCTAGGCGCTGCATGATGAGGTAGTCTGCCTATCAACTGTCCATGCCTGGAATGTGAATGGCAGACAAGGTTGGAATGTGGAGTTATGCCCAGGCTAGAATCCTTTCTACCTCTCTTGCCGCAGCAAAACTTCTGAATCTTTCCTGGTGGTTGATGTACACCACTACACTGCCGTTATCTAACTTGATCAGAGTCAGGGTGTCCAGCATTGAAGGGACAACTAAATCATTTGAAGCTCCACATTGTGGGAAGGAAGACGAGATTCCCGGTAGACCAAGTATCCTGCACCCACAAGATGTCTAGGACTCCTACCCAGCCCTTTAAATGGCAACAGCTGTAATTATCTCAAAAAGAAAATAAAAAGCTAGTAAAAAGGGTAAAAACTTTCTCAATAGAGAAAATACATCCATCCTCCTAGGACACTAACAAAAGCTGATGTATGACGGCGGATAGAAACTAAAACTACTGCAGTGGAAATCTCACTGTTTGAGCACCTGGGAGGTGTAAGAACCAGAAGGCATACAAAACTGAAATATTCACTTTTTGTATTAATGCTTTAAAGTGTGTATAGTTTTAGCTTTATTTCTTTCTCATTTATTAAGGGAGCTAGAATTCAGTTATTCAGAGACAATACACTCCCATCATACATCAGCTTTTGTTAGTGTCCTGGGAGGATGGATGTCTTTTCTCTATTGATGGCGGCTGGCCAACAGCTTTTTTTTTTGCAGTGTTCAATTCCTCCTGAAGGCAGCACTAAAACCAAATTGTCTTACAGCTCCCAGGTGCTCAAACAGTGAGATTTCCACTGCAGTAGTTTTAGTTTCTATCCCTTCCCAGGCTAATAGAACAATTTGTTTTGGGTACAGCTGCCCTTTAAAGAAGTGTTTCAATTGCATTTTTTTTTATTTAAAATGATTTAAAAACGAATTAACCTTCAATCACACCAGCTTTCTGTCATGTTGTATATTTGTATAATCTTTCATCAAAGTGGGAAAAGCACGTACCTTTAGGTTTTTGCAGCTTTTCATGAGATATTTGACATCGTATATCACGGGAAAAAATAGCCGAAGAATTTCAAAGAAGTCCAGCTCAACCTCGGGCAAGTTTGAATTAGTCAGTATCTTTATTAGATAGCCAAAATCATAGCCACTATGACAACAAAAAAATATATGAAAGATTACTTTACAGTGACTTACTTTACACAGTCTGAAATACTGTTCTGTTTATGCAGAATGTGGAACGCTACCCAAATTTGTATTCAGTACAATCATATATAAGCACGCAAATGTCTTGAGGTGAAATGTATATGGCCTGATTAGTGATTATCATTGGAAAGTGAAAAAGAAGTAGCATGCTGTAATTAAAAAAAATGAAAAAACAAAAGCTTGATGCATCTATTATACATGTTTACAAATGCCAGACTCTTCTACGGACATTCCCTAAGTATCTTAGGATCATTTTTTAAGCTTAGGTTAGGCAAAATTTGATCCACTTCCCTGTTTAGAAAAAAACAAACCTTTCTTCAAACCAGGAACAACTAAAATTATTAGGCCAATAACTTTCAGGAGTGATATGTGGAAATAATGTATTTCTAGATTTTCTTAAAGGGACATTATTGTGGGAAAATAATTTTTTGGCCTGAACTATAGAACTATAGCCTGAGCTATAGAACTTTGTAAATCACAGACTTTCTTTCAGTGAAGCGGCTAAGTATAGTCTGGTATACATGGAAAAAAAAGGTGCCACCTGGACTTCAGAATAAACTATTTTTATGTCCTGACCACAACAAATATTACAGCATGCTATTTACAGCATGCTACTTCTTTTTCACTTTCCAATGATGTTTATTTCCTCTCACAGTGTTTATTCCATTTTGCATGTGATGGCAGATATGTTAACCTGCATGACATGCACTGTGTAGGTTACAGTCACATGGCATTAGTATACACGTGTAATCGGAAGGATTATAGACTTTTGGTTTTGTAATGTGTCTGATGATCCAGATTAGCACAGGAAGATGCAAGTCAAATCCATTAACACACAACTAAAAAGTAGCTGAAAAAAAGGAAGCCGGTAACTAACTTCACTGGAGCAAGCAGCAGAAATCAGGGGATGCTAAAAACTATTCGTAAAAAAAAATGAGACTTTATAAACCGATCGTGGTAGAAAGCGTGCTAAGAGAACGCCTCTGTTGCAAGAGAAGCTGCTTGCTCTTCATGAGGATTAGAAGATTATGGTCTAAATTCTCTTTTTCCATTCCCTTTTCTTAGCCGTGGCACAGCTACTGAGTTCATTAACTTTCTCACTGCTCATGCTGGAAAGTCAGGGACAGGATTATCAAAGAATCAGGAGACTTTGCAATCCAATGTTCTGTATCATTGTCACACAGCCGATTGTCACACCTTTCACAAGGCATTAAACGGCACAGAAAGGTCTGAAAGGAAACCACTGCTATAAAGGAAAAACAGTTTTGCCATAAATTACATAATAAAATTAGATCTTTGGGAGACTAAGATACATGATGACCATGTTGACCAATTACGGACAGATGTCTCTTTGAGAAACTTCTGTACAACCATTGTCATGCAAGGGCCCACCTCTGATTATTATGCTATCTGCACAAAACGAAGCAGTATATATGTGATCAATACCTTTTGTTTCTCTCCCTGTGAATGTTGACCAGGTCACTTAGCTGAAAAGGTACTTCCTACTCTATAACATTAAATCGGTTTATGAAGGCTGAGAATATAAGGCCTGACTCGTGTACGCTGTGGGTACGGGGTTCAACTCCACCCCATACCACTTCCTAAGAAATCCATCTCTGAAACCACACTGGACTTCACTGGGGTACAGGAAGTCAAGAAGAGTCAACTTTAAAGGTATATAAGGAATGAACACTGTTAAACACATGAAAAGATACATTTACAAGACTTTGGCACAAATGATGTAATGTGCCTAAGCGTTGCATCCTGGGAAGGTTACATCAGCAGAGCATTGCTGGGAAATCTCATGAGTACTCAGGGAAAGGCATTTCCTCCCCTGAGATGATGTGCATGGTCACATGTTCTAGTCACATTGGTCACATGTGCCAGAGTTTCAGGAAGTAAAGGGAGATGGATTCATCTGCCTTTAGTAAAAATAGCCACTGTCAGAAGACCAGGGAAGAAAATGCATGCAAAGAATACAAAGCCGGCAATTATCTAGAAGTATGTGTTTGTAGATTGTCATTACTAAACATTTCTAAAGGTGCCTTTGTTGTCATTTTAAAGATATGGGTAAAGTTCCTCTTTGAGGAAAGAAGGATATTGTTGTAAAAGGAGAACCACTAAATATAAAAAAGTAATACTGGCTTATCACAAGGGCAGAGATGATGAGCAGTCCTGTATTTGACAAGCTTACAGGGAAACCACACTTGGTTGAGTTCTTTATCAAGCACAGGCTGGAAGAACTCGTCAGAAGAGAGCTAAAATATGTTTTACATTCCAAATTATAGCATTGTCCCATACAGACCCTGCAGTCTGTGCTTTAAGTAAATGGTAGTAGTTTATAAACTGTAAAATGTACATTAAAAATCTTTTCTAATAACCAAGTTCTTCAACCCCCATGAATCACCATTAACAGCCTCAATGGAAAGCCAAGTGCAAGGAAATATATTGGTTTAACACACCTATCACATACCTGTGGAAAGAAAGCCATTTCACTCCTTCACAAAGCACCACTCCAGAGGTCATGAACAACTCTGCAAAATAGTGAGTTTCAATGCCCTCTTCCTCATGCTTCTTAAACTGGATCCCAGATGAGTTGAGCAGCTCTATGGAGTCTTGTGCATACATATCTTCCCTGCAGAGAAAAACTCACAATCAGGACAAGACTTGAACAAAGACTTTTCATTCAGACACACCAAGTGAACTCCAGACACAAAACCTTTCATTGAAATACAGGCAGTCCCTGGGTTACGGACAAGATCGGGTCTGTAGGTTTGTTCTTAAGTTGAATTTGTATGTAAGTTGGAACAGGTACATTTTTTAAGTGTAACTCCAGCCCAAAAAATTGTTTTAGTTTTGGATAGCATAGGGAAGGGTTAACCAACCGTAAAGTTTGTTTTGCTGTGTGTGCCCCTGTTCAGAAGATTTCACCTCACTTTCTGTCCCTGTGACAATTGGATTTGGAAAATTTTGGTTGTTGTCGTGGAAGCAAAGATTGGTGATAAAGATTCAGTGGAGACACCTTTTTCCATGATAACTCTTACAGGAGTGAATTTCCCTTCACAGGGGTAGATTTCCTCTCCCTTCCTGTTGTCTCAAGGACAGGAAGTGAGATTAAATCTTTCTAATGAGGATACAGACAGCAGTAAAAGCCTCACAGTGACCCGTTAGACGAGGCGGCACCCATCGTCTGCACGTATAACAAGAGCCAACTTCCTGTAATGTACGCACAGTAAAACGAACCAGACGCAAATAGGCGGCCACTCCTCGTCAGCATGAGCACAGTAGCATTACAACTACCTTTGTGGTACAGTAATGGCCTCCGTTAGTAAGTAGGAGTCGTATGCAAGTCGGATGTTTGTAACTCGGGGACTGCCTGTATATTCCTCAACAGCTATGAAGGATATGAATCCACTTTATGTGTGCCAAATTCAATGAAGGTAAACTCTGCTTATGCATTTTTCATCATATGCTCAGTATAATTGCCCAGGTTAAGTCCCACCAATATAAAAACACTTCTTGCCAGTACATTTATTCATTACCACTATTGCAACAAACCTTTTTTTTTTTTTTTATTAAAGCTGGCATCTTTTACTCACTCTAAAAAGGGTAATCTAAAAACAGTAGACTTATTAAAAATGAAGATGTATCCTTACAACGTATGCAGAACTCTCAGCCCACATCGGGCTTTAATTCATTATGCCGGCCTCGTGAGTATGCACTTGTTGAGCTGACTCCCTGCTGTCAATAATCTGGTGATCTGAGAATCCTTCTGGTTTATGTTTGTAAAGGTGGCCATACACCTTACGATTACGATTCTAAGTACGGTGATCGAACGTCATTCGATTTTTGTACAACTGCCCCATCATGCACAGACCGTTGTGGATTTCAATATCACCTGGCCGAATTTCGTCGATTGAAGGAGTGGATTTTCGTTTGCGCATGAGCAGTGTTGCTATTGCGATTTGTTTCGTACGAAAACGCCACTAATCCATCGAAATTCGGACGATTTGATAAAAGTTTTCTAGACCGCTGGAAAGGCAAAAGTTGAACGGTTGTACAGTAATTGCGATTGTGCACTTCCCATCAACTGTGCCATCGTACGAAAACATGACCGCAGACGAAAATCGTGCGATAATCGTAAGGTGTATGGGCACCTTAATGCAGGCGAGATATTCTCAAACACACCTGCGGTAGACCTTTGAGGGCCTGATTACACTTTGCGTTACAGTAATACTCATGCTTTATACTGCAACACACAGCAATGTGTGTTAAGTAAACTGGTGCAATGAGGTGCCATTCATTCTGAATGACAATGCACCTTCCGATGGTTGTGCATTGAAGCACAGTGCGTGACAACACGCTAACATGCGTTGCACTGCCAAAAAACATCCGTTGGCAAGGGGCGTAGGAGTGTCATTCAAATGAAATGCACCGCATCATACCAATACATGTAACCTGCAATGCGGTAAACAGTGGATTGTAGAGATTGCATTGGTACATCAGCTGACACCGCTGGTCCTGGAGAAGGAAGTGACATGACATAGCGGCCGAGTCTACACCCACTCCTTGCTGCACTATAAAAGAATGGGGCAAGATCGGTCTTGTAATCGCTAAAGAAAAGGCTTTACAAGGTATTTAAAAAGAAATTCATGTAGTTTAGGATGTTGTGAGTATACTTCTATAAAAAGCATTAAACTGACAAAACCTTTACTTTTAGTTTCTAGGTAATAAACAATGTAAATCAAAATAAAACAAGAACTATTGGTAAATTGGGTGTTAAAAAGATACTATACCAAACTACCCTAAAATAAGAATAGCCATTACCCAATACATATGCAAATAGATGTCACAACATTCCCAGAAGCAGATTAGAAGGGCTGAGTTATATTCAGAAATATATACAAAGGGATAATGCAAACTGTGCTGTGTCTTCACTTCCCCTTACAGCAAGGCACCTCAGAGAGGTCTACTACATTTACCATTTTCCTGTTTTGACAATCAGTAAAGATGAAATTGGCTCGAGTCTGTGCTGAATTTAAAACATTGCTGAAAGGTTAACACAGTGGCGTTGATTTACTAAAGCAAAAGATTCCATTCATTTGGCCAAGTGAATGTTCATACAGCTCAGTAAATAAGGAAAAGCCACGCTTACTTCATTTATCCAATTGTGCAAGACATAAATTCCTATTTATTTCCATGTTGACGGGGTATTCAAAGTGAACATCGCTTCCGCCAATTTACTAAGCTCAGTATACATTCACTTTTCTAAATAAACAAACTACATAAAATAAAATATACTAAATGCATTTTCTAAATAAAACTACTCCAAGGCCCCTTTCACACTGGCCGATCAGGAGAGGATCCGTCAACCGATCCTCTTCTGATCAGATGTCACCGCTGTGACATGTGTCCAGTTATTTCCTCCATCTTGTGATGAAGGAAAAAACTGAAAGTGCCGGACTCCATGCAAGTCTATGGGGAATCTGATGTAAACGTTCGTTTACATCAGATTACTTCCGGTCCGTTGAAACGGATCAATGATCCGTATGAATTACTAGACCGAGCCGGAGCTAACCGGGTGTAAACTCGGCTGACCATAGACTTTCATAGAGTGTCCGATCGGGTCCGGTTGAAAAACTGCCGGGCGGACCTGATCGGACAGCTCATGTGAAAGAGGCCTTGATGCTTTAAAAGTCCACAGTATATGTGGAAATGAAGAGCATCTATGTAGCTGGGACACTCACGTTAAATTAAATTTAAAATTAAATTGCCATGTTGAGGTTCCTGGTGGGTATTCTCCTTGCTCATTCATAAATGTTAACCCCAGCTGAATGATCTTTAGTAAATCCACATTACAGCGTAAAAGTTGGTATTGATAGTCAGCGTTACTCCTGAACTCTCCGATTGGTCTCGCAACTACTCCTGGAAACTCGGTGTCCTACAAGAGATAAAATGATAGTTCTTGTAAATAAAGCACATAGTAACATGCTTATGTTTTTACAGCATAATCAGACGGGTAAAACACTTTTATACTTTCTCTGTAAATGTTTTTGAATTTTGTTTATTGTGTTGTACCCATACCGGGCAAAGTAAAAGGCTCACTTAGCCCCCTCCCTCCTCCCCAGCAGTATATACTCTTCCCTTCGCTCCCCTATTACTGGATGCAAACTGAAATACCCAACACTTTAGGGTATGTGCGAGCATGTGCATCACACCCCCCCCTCTCTAATGGGACAGCTGGTGCCTCATGATTGGCCCAACTCTATCACATAGGGCTGGAGGAGGGGCACCAGCAATGTGGTTTTCATCTTACGCAGGGATTTCTTTCCCCCAGCCCCTGGTAGCTGAAAGGTAAAAGGTGAGTATAAGCTACTGCAGAGCAAACTGAACCTTATACATTACCCTGCATGGTCAAAGGAAAGGTTCACTTTAAATTATATGGCCTCCATTTTTACTTATAAAGAGAACTGGAAAAAAAAAGTACATTAAAAGAGAACTCATGACTTCTTATTGCAAGAGGACTTATGCAATAATGTGAATATTCAATCATGTATTGTAAATGTGTCATTTTACTGCTGAAGGTTTCAGATTTGTCCCTTTATTTTGTTTTACTAATTGTATCTCAGCTTTACACATCAATTAGTGGGTCAGAGGTCAACTTAAGCCTCTTACGCAGAGGCTGCTGCCTCTTAGCCTGTACAAATCAAAGAAAGGCTGACAGGCTTTGCAGCTGTTCGCATATATCCGCACATGGCGCAACTACCTGGAATTAAGAACAGCTGAGTGGCCCTGGACACAAAATGTCTGCATACAGTGCCGCTCATCTATTCCTAACTGTAGGTAATGGCTCCATGTGCAAATACATGCAAACAGCCACAGACCATGTCAGCCTGTCATTGATTTGTACAGTCTTCCCATCCTCAGCCGACTTCAAACGCCTGGCCCTATCCACCTCATAAATACACTGATCTGGGTGGTGTACAGCCCTAGATGGCTGTGTGACTGAGGCTTAAGATGGTTTGTGACTTGTCAACAGCCTGACATCCCACACGGTCTCCCAACTCATGTCAAACAACAATCAAAAGATGTGGGAAGCCACCAGTCCAGGTTTATGATCAGTAGACCTACAGATACAGGCAGCTGAAACAGTTTAAATGTACTGCAAATAAGGAGATTACTAAAAAGCAGTTGGCCTGACACTTCACTGGCCATGTGCTTGTACTAGGTCATGTTGACAATAAACCTAGTATAAAAGTTTCATGCAAAGATGTTAAAGTACTCAGAAGTTTGAGATTAAATGTAGTATGGCCGGACAATGAGTCACCCCCGATGTGCTGGTAGTGCTTTTGTAAACATTTAAACATGTGGCCAGTGTTAGCCCCGAATTAGAGGTGCAGGCAGCTTGATACCCACTTTATCGTGTCAGTTTATGCGTCAACAACACCTTTCCTACCCCTTAGGATATCCAAGTAGGTTTGCAAACGAGCTTTTATCTCAGAGATAGCTTACTTTTGCTATAATATTTAAAGATCTTTTTGATGTCATGTGTCAAAGGAAGAAAAAAAAAGTTGTCCATCACCCAAGGGCACTAGCAAAAAAGCTGAGGCGAAGTGGAAGGGATTATACAACGCTGCCCTTAAAACTTTGATTGATTTGCCAGTCATTGTCACCTAAAGGTAGTTGCATAACCCAGCAGTTAAATAATTTAACTCTGTGTCCTGTGATCAAGAAAAGTTATTGACTAGCTGCCCCCTTACTGCAACAGTAGCCAGAATAACTACTTCTCGCTTTCTTTCCTGCTCAGTGACAACACAAACATAGGGTTATAAATGTACCTGGGGATGACCCAATAAGTAAACCTGGGCACTATACGTAAGGAAGACAGGCTCAACTAGCAGTGGCAGCTGTAAACCATTCATGAGACACGGACAACCAGGAACAGTCTAAGCAGATTTGCCCTGCACTTTTACTCAGCAAGTTAATAAACACACATCGTTTCATTGCAGGAAGGATTTGTACAGCCATAAGTCCATCAAACTAATTAAGATCTGAGACACTCTTTGCAATCAGTCTTTGCAATTTTATGTTGAGGAACATTATTCTGAAATTGTTCAACAATTTAGACGCAGCTTTTCACAGTTTGTGGACCTCTGCCCATTTTTATTTCTGAGACACGGACTCTCCATGGTGAACCTCTGCCCATCTTTATTTCCGAGACACGGACTCTCCATGGTGAACCTCTGCCCATTTTTATTTCTGAGACACGGACTCTCCATGGTGAACCTCTGCCCATCTTTATTTCTGAGACAAGGACTCTCCATGGTGAACCTCTGCCCATCTTTATTTCTGAGATACGGACTCTCCATGGTGAACCTCTGCCCATCTTTATTTCTGAGATACGGACTCTCCATGGTGAACCTCTGCCCATTTTTATTTCTGAGACACGGACTCCCCATTGTGAACCTCTGCCCATCTTTATTTCTGAGACACGGACTCTCCATGGTGAACCTCTGCCCATCTTTATTTCTGAGACACGAACTCCCCATGGTGAACCTCTGCCCATCATTATTTCTGAGACACGGACTCTCTAAAAGGTGCCCATACACTGCTCGATTCTCGTACGAGAATCGCGGGAAATCCTGCGATCGTATGAGAATCGTGCAGTGTATGGAAGGCGTGCGACCGTTTCTACTGTACGGTCGCACGTCTTCCGTCGAACCAGCATGTTCGAAAACCAGCCGGGAATCGTACGATTCTCGGCGAGGTAGTGGCCTGCTTGTTCGACGGAAGACGTGCGACCGTACAGTAGAAACGGTCGCACGTCTCCGTTCACACTGCTCGATTCTCGTACGAGAATCGCGGGAAATCCTGCGATCGTATGAGAATCGTGCAGTGTATGGAAGGCGTGCGACCGTTTCTACTGTACGGTCGCACGTCTTCCGTCGAACCAGCATGTTCGAAAACCAGCCGGGAATCGTACGATTCTCGGCGAGGTAGTGGCCTGCTTGTTCGACGGAAGACGTGCGACCGTACAGTAGAAACGGTCGCACGTCTCCGTTCACACTGCTCGATTCTCGTACGAGAATCGCGGGAAATCCTGCGATCGTATGAGAATCGTGCAGTGTATGGAAGGCGTGCGACCGTTTCTACTGTACGGTCGCACGTCTTCCGTCGAACAAGCAGGCTGGAAAAGCTGCTGGGAATCGTACGATTCTCGGCGAGTTAGTGGCCTGCTTGTTCGACAACTGCTCGTTTGCAGTCATCAGAAGCCCGCCCCTCATTGCAGTCAGCCCCCCTTAGGGGTGCGGTCTTGCGATGATCGCAAGTACGATCTGCCTGTCCAAGATGGGCAGATGGTACGTTTTTTTAAGTACTTTACAACCCTCGCAAGACAAAAGTCTTGCGAGGGTTGTAAAGTGTATGGGCACCTTTACTTTGCCAGCTTTTTGTTGCCCTGTCCCAACTTTTTTGAGACATGTTACTACCATCAATATCAAAATTACCTAATTTTTCCTTAAAATGGCAGATTTCTCAGTGTAAATATTTCATATGTTTTCTATTGTGAATAAAATATTGGATTATAAGATTTGCAAATCATTGCATTCTGCTTTTTGGTAGATTTTACAGAGCGTCCCAACTTTTATGGAATTGGGCTTGTATTTATAAAGCAGTTTCTTCTTCCCTGTGCCATAAATGTCTTAAAAGAAGAAGAGCTGTACTTTTAAAACATATTAGAACTTTTTATAAATCCAGGGAAACCAGGCAACTGTGCAATATAACTTCTTAGGTTTTATTTTTACATGACATTATTGAAACCAACAATGACGACGGAGCATGGAGCCGGCTTCCCGGCCAACCAGGAAGCCGGGCAGCGTGTAAGGACGCGCTGCCCATCTTCCTGATACAGGAAGAATCGGGCTAGGCATCAGAGCATTTGGGCGAGTACGAGTACTCGCCCAAATACTCGGCATCGGCACCGATACTAGTGCCGGTGCATCCCTAGTGAAAACCATTAAAGGATATCTTAGCCCAAGACCAAAACCATACCAGTCCTTAGATGTGGTGGCCCATTACTTTTCATGTTTTCAGGTCAACAACAATTTCAGCAAGTACAGAAAATATCGATTGATCTTGCCTTGTCACTTCCTGTAAGCTTGACTTTAATATCAGATGAATCACATTATATATTACTATGTACTATATCAGGCCTCAAAATTTCCACCCGCCCCCTCGCAATTGGCAAAAGACACTTGTGTGGGGGCGAGTGGAATGAAATCGAGGGGGTGCACCGCAAGTGGGACCAGAGACGGGACACTACCGCCGCTGCGATTGCTCGCTTCTGTTCTCTCTTCTCCTCGGCCGCTGCAGCTACAGAGCGGTCGAAAGAGAAGACAGAACAGAACTGTAATGTATGACTGATGTTGGCGTTGACAGCTCAGGGCAGCCAGTGTTTTCAGACCCCGTGACACTGCCCGAGAAAGGAAGGGTGACGTCACCGAGAAAGGCGGTCCGCAATGGATAGAACGCGCCTTTTCTAAGGACACTGTTACTGAGCTGGGTACGTAACTTCCTGGATACAGGACGCGTTGTTGCGACCTCACTTCCTGGAGACAAGACGCATCGCCATAGAGACAGTGCACAGACGGGCATCCAGGAGAAATGGAGGCGGACAGGCTGCTGCTGGGGATGGAGATGGTGTCCAGCTCCGGTGTGGGACTGAGCCCGGAACAGAGCGCTGCCCTACGGACATTCCTCCTGCTCATCTGCCGGAACGCGAAGTTGTCTGGGGTCCTGTTCTGGGGGAAGATCCTTGGAGTCCGAGGGGACTATATCTGCCGGGGCACTGAGGAGGACGGCGAGAAACTGGGGGAGGAAGACTTTCTACAGGTGAGGGGCCCCTATAGATTATATATATCCCCCCCCCCATATACACACCACACTGTACATCATTACTGGTGGGGAGAAGACCTTGTTCAGGTGAAGGGCCGATAGATTGTATATCCCCATAATTGCAGGGGGTGGGGGACTTCCTACAGACGAGGGGCCCCTATAAATCATATATATCAGGCCTCAAAATTTCCACTCGCCCCCTAGCAATTGACGAGTGAAAAATTGCATGGGGGAAAGTTGAATATCATCGAGGGGTGTGCCGCTGGCGGGACCAGAGATGGGACACTACTGCCGTGGCGATTGCTTGCTTCTGTTCTCTCTTCTCCTCCTCTATAGCTGCAGCTACAGAGCGGCCGAGAAGGAGAAGAGAAGCGAAAGATCGCCGCGGCGGTAGTGTCCCATCTCTGGTCCCGCCGGCGGAGCACCCCCTCGATGACATTCAGTTCCGCTGTCTTCTGCAGCTTCCTCCACCCAGTTCAGCTGCCATAGGCTGGGAGGAAGACTGCAGAGACAGTGAGACACCCGGCCAGAACGTTATGCAGGGGGAAAAGAGGATACATGGAGGATCTCTGTACCGCAGTACCTCTGTACTGTGCGTCACACAGCTGACCTCTGTATTAGGCATTGCACCACTGACTTCTGTACTGTGCGTCACACCGCTGATTTGGCGGAGTTAAGGCCGGGGCAGAGTAGGGGTTAGGTGGGGCAACTGGTGGCGAGTAACTTTTAAGGCCTGGCTAATAGCTCAGGACTTGAAATTTTGAGCCCTGCGTTATGATAGTTAACCACTTAAAGACCAGGTGTTTAGACCCCCTTCCTGGCCAGGCCATTTTTCAGTATTCAGCGCTGCGGTACTTTGACTGACGTTTATTCCGTCATGCAGCGCTGTACTGAAATGAATTTTATACCATTTTTTGGGGACAGATAGAGCTTTATTTCGGTGGAGGCCGGCCCGGAGGTGGTTAAATAATGGCTAGGTGGATAGGGTGAAACATTTCAAATTATCCAAACTGACACAACCCCTAAACATACCATTGCAACATAATTATACTTGCGTATAACTTGACGGATTCGCTTCATCTGTTCATCCAGGTTGCAGTCCCAGACTTCGCAGATCCGCTGGCTGTGGTCCACTGTTGCGGCAGGCATAGTGGTACTGGGGGAGAGGCTCAGAGGCAGGCATCAAAATTTTGCACGTGTCTACTGGGAGGTTTCATAGGTGGAGAATTGCACTCTGCAAAGAAATGAAAATACTTTTTTTTTTTTAATCTGAAGAACAAAAATCAAGAGAAAAAAAAAAATCGATTTTAAATTACCATCAACATTTGTATTACATTAATCTTAGCAAAGTAGCCATGGCAACAGGCTCAGCAGACCTGCCTTAACTGCACTGCTAACTTACAGACTCAAACTCTTCAATGTTAACTTGAAGGCATTTCCAGGCCAGCTAGGAGCCAAATGAAACAGATACTATAAAGCCGGTGTTACAGCACGTACAAGCCAGATGTTAAAAGGAGAACTATGGGGTTAAGGCTTTTCCCCATAGTTCTCCTTAGGGTAACAGGAGGACACAAACTAGCGTCCTCCCGTCACCCTAGGCTCAGTATACTGCGAGCTGTAGCTCGCGGTATACTGAGACGCCGCAGCTGAAGCGGATCCCAACAATTATGCCGGGATCCGCCCAGCTGCGTGACTGACAGCTGGCTCTGCCTCCCGCCCCCTCCCCCGTCCGTTCTGCCAGTCAGCGCTGGCGGATCGGGGAGGGGGGAATCCAGCCCCTGCCCTGTCACGGCAGAGAGCCGTGACAGGATGGAGAGGTGAGCGAACGCCGGTATGTGTTGGCTCACTTCCTCAATCTACTGAGCCGACCTGTGACAGTCTCATTGTCACAGGTCGGCTAGAACTATGAGGTGAATGAGCCTTGTAAAAGTTTTGTCTCGTTGGTATCTGTAAGTGCCCATATCAATAAAAATACAGTATAGTCAGACTGTGCAAAAGCTTTATAAAAGCGGTGTCTTCTTGTTATCTTTGAGTACATATTGGGGCTAAACAGTGTTCTCTATCTCCATTGCTGTATTGGTAGATCCTTTAATGCATTTATTGTGCTGGCATAGTGGGGTCTTGATATCTTCCTGGTCTGTCATGTTTGGCAGGCATTAAACAGAGTTGTGGACAAGAGCAGCATCATTATCTGGAACAGCAAACAGGTAACCTTCATATGCCTTCTAATGCAGAGAGCTGCAACATAAAGAGTCCTGCTGAAAATATGCAGGGAGATCACTGCTCTATGTTCTCTGTATGTCCCTAGAAATCAGCACACAGTGGCCATAGCAGTTCTGTACCCCATTGTATAGCACGTGGGTTCCTTGGAATGGATATGAAAACATGTAATTATTGCTCCTATGGTGAGGGAATTCTGAATGAGCAGGAGCAGAAGGAAGCAGGATAGTATCTGTAGTGCTGCCCAGCCATTTCCTCTGCATATAGGTAAAAATGTTATACATATTTTATGCTATGTAAAACACGTGCACAAACTTAGAATTCTGACTTTTAATCACAGAATTTTGTTTCATTTTTTTTTTTTGCATTGGCCCCAGGGCTTTTCCATACATTACGACTGATATAGGGGCTTAGAACTTTTACTGGTCAAAAGGAGAATAACAAGTCAGGAGACATTAGTTTTAAGAGAACAGACAAATCTGTATGCCTGTTCAGGTAAATTTATGATTTAAAAAAAAAAAAAATAGATGACTGTAATGCAGAGGTTCCAAGTGTGACACTAAACTCAGGAGTTAAATCTTAAAAATACATTCAAGTACCTCAACTGTTAACAAAAATGTATCTTATTTGTGTATCACTCAGCAGTAGATCCTCAAATCATCTCTGTATTGGTGCTGACACTGTCCTTCCTTCTGGAGGGAGGCTACTTTTGTTCCCCCTGGGTCCCTGTGTGTGTTGTAAAGTAGTCACTGCTCCATGCTCAGTCCTGGGATGGACTACAATCTCATATTTAGTTTACAGATTTGGATTATCCACTTCCAGCGGGTTCACATAAATACACGTCATCCGCTGGAAGTAGTTATACCAGGAACACGGCTGATGCTGCAGCCATGTTCTTGGTACAGTTTTAAACAGCAAAAGATTGTTGTTTAAATACAAGCGCTCCGGGGTCTGTAGTGGCGTCGGATCGCTTGTACGGTGCAGAGATCGTGTGTGTCCCCGTCTACTGGTGCTGCTGTTTGCTTCCCGAGCTCTGCTGTCCCCCTTGTGAGCCCGGGCCCGGCACAGCGGGTCCCCCCTGGCAGACCGGAGGGAGATCAGCAGGCTTCCAGCATTAAATTCTGCAATTACATTACATCACTTCCGGTGTCACTGGGAACAGTCTCTGGCTCATAGAACCAGAAGAAGAAGCTGGTGAAGGAGATCTCTGCTTCATCAGCTTCTTTGGGGTACCTAGGTGATATTAGGGGTCTGAAAGATCTCTGATGTCTCCATAAAGAGGACCTGTCACATATTTGCTATTACATAGGGTGCTTGTTAGCCCCCCTATGTGATAGCAATAAAGCGGAGTGCAAAAAAAATAAAATAATAATTACAAATATTTTTTTTAAAAAGATTAAAAATGCAAAGAAAAAAAAATGTCTAAAGTCCCCCACGTGCACGCACATACAACGCAAACACGTGCCTGATGCGCCTAGTGCAAAAATGAAAATTGCACTACACGTTACAAATTGTCGCGAGCGTCGGAGTGCGAGCAATAATTCTAGGCCCATCAATCACTGGTAATACTAAACTGATGAGCTGTAAAAGAAATTAAAGCGTCGCCTATGGAAAATTTTGGTAATTGTAGTTTTTTGCGGTTTCACGGACGCACGCAATTTTAAGGCTTAACATGTTTGGCATCTCTTTACCTGGCGTGACCCCGTCTTTTATATTTTACCAAAAAATTGGGTATTATATTTTGTTTCTGTGCACTAAATTTCATTTTAGTGTATTTTATCCTAAAAATACTTGCTTGATAAACATTTGGGCAAATGCCGTGCAACATAAAAATTGCAACTAGCATCTTTTTATTCTACAGGGTCTCTGCTTTCAGAAAATATGTAAAGGTTTGGGGGTCTGAAGCTGTTTTCTAGCCAAAAATTCAGATTTTATCATGTGTGTGCAAATGTAAGAAATTGCTCCGGGCAGCAAGTGGTTAAGATATTAGTCCATCACAGGAGTGAGCTTGGAGCGGTAGATACTTTACAACACACACAGGGACCATGGGGACAGTGTAAGCATGACTTCAGAGATGATTTGACACATTTTTGGTAATAGTGAGGGTACCTAAATGCATTTTTCAGATTGAATTCCTGAGTTTAGTGTCACTTTAATCTTGAGAGCTAAGCTAGACACATACACGCATAACTTTAGTATGAACTTTCTACATTGTCATCTATAGATTAGCCCATCAGTGGAAAGCCATGTCTTAGCTAATATGAGGTAATGGAATTACTGATAGTGTAACCAGATCTTTGCGCAATGTCAGATTTGTTGAAAATACTTTACATGAGCCATTTGTATTGAGCTAGTTAGACTTGCTAATAGATTAACCGTGTTGTCTAATTACTGTCTTGCAGATTGTCAGGGTATCACATGCCAGGCATGATGGGGTTCCTGTAATTGTAATTACCTCACAAAGTCAACCTTAATTGTTCTTTACTTGTGTACATGATGTCATTTACTACTAGTATGATGGTGCTTATAAAGATCTCAGGGAGTGAAGGAGACATGGCGGCTTCCAGGGAGACATGTGCCTCTTGAAACATATGCAACATTTAAAATTCTGGCCACTAGTAAACCTAACTTAACGCGATAAATACATCATTATATGATGAAAATTGGATCTACTTTTAATAAAATCAGTTTGAGAAGGTGGCCTTTAAAAAGAAAAAAAAGTGTATCTTTTTTACATAAAATGCATACACAGTGAGTGGCCAGATTATTATGACCACCCCATCAGTACTTCGTTGGGCCACCTTTTGCCTTCAATACTGCGGCGATTCTTCTTGGCATTGACTCCACGAGATGTTGAAAGGTGATGCGAGGAATCTGACACCATGCCATATGAATAACTGTGACATGGGCTCTGAAGGAGGGACTTTCTGATACCGATTGACTTGATTATTTTAAAGGAAACGAGACAGGATTTGTAAAACAGTTGATAGTATTTGACCGTGTAGTCACCTGGGCTCTTTCCAATAGGCATCCTAAGGATCTCCTCCTCAGATATGTCTTCTCCGTGGCCTCTATCACTGCAGAGGGGGCTTTTGCAATTCCAGAGTGTGATAGGAATTTGGAGATTTCTGCTTGCCAGTTGTGGGTTGTGGCGTAGGACTCACTGGGCCGAATGCTGTAGAGAGACCGATAGTAGAGGGCAAAGGATTTTGCCATGTCTGCTGAAGTGAGATTGACATTTTACAAGTTCTGCATGCAGGATGCCGGTTATTACTTATGTTTGCCAGAAATGTTTTCCATGTGTGCCTCTCTGAGACTAAATTCATGTGCTACATGTAGCCTGACTTCAGGACAAATCCCTGCCAGATGCCATTCCACAGTCCAATGTGAGGGCCACTTTTGGCATGAGGAATGTTCACTGGACAAAGTAGCAGGGCGCAGCCCCACAATAAACCTCCTAGAAACAAAGTGAAAAAAGCATGTTTTCTGGTTTCATCCTGTGGTGTCTGCCCTTGAGCATGGATGTACAAGTATCAATCTCCTAATTGTCTTTAGTGAGTAGACATACTCACTAATAAAAGCTTTGGCAAACACTGACACTCAGAAAGTTTAAGAATACTTCTAGTGGAAGGCACATGCACAGCCGTAGAGCCTTCCTGGCATCCGAGATGTGGGAATGGGAAGTTGTCTGCCAGGATGACGTCTCTTATTCTCCTCCTCTTGCGATGCCTTGCTCTTCTACCATGTGGCCATACAGGTCCCCAAGTTAAAAAGAAACAATGGAGAAAAGGAAACTGACAAAATGTTTTCTCTTGCCTGCAGCACACCGACAACATCATCGTCTCAGCCTAGGCATCGTTATTTGACTGGAGCACAGGGATTGCTTAACAACAGGTAGAGACTTTTGGAAGGAAAATTATATGGCTGCTGTATAATGTGACGTGTCACAAATGTATTTATGCAAACTTGTCTTACTGAAAGTTCAAGATGATAAAGTGAGATTTTAAGACATAATTATTAGAGGTACACCGAAATGAAAATTTCAAAACCAAAAATGTTTTTTATTTTAACTTTTTCAAAAATGTTTAAATATTTTAGTTTTATTTATTTTTTATAAACTTTTTTAAATGTTTATATTTATTTATTCATTTTTTTATATTTTACATTACTTTTAGGGGCTTCTAGGACATATTAGGGGTCTAAACAGACCTCTGATATTTCCCTTTTAAAATAGAAAAAGAGATTGAGAACACAAAGTCCTCAATCTCTTTTTCTGCAGCCCCAGTTATCAATGAACAGGAATCCTCTATACTGAGTGTTCCTGTTCATTCATAACATGAGGACATAGTGTGTTTACTATAACCACAATCATGAATGAACAGGAGGGGATGGAGATCACTCCCATTCATAATTGAGGATATAGTAACCATACCATGTCCTCAATTATCTACAAACACTCAGCGATCACTGACTGCTTGTACCCGCTCTCCATCCTGGCAGCTGTCACAGGAGGTTGAACGAGTGGTGCTCAGCCTCCTGTGCCAGCACTGCACGCTGTCTCCCCCCACATGGCTGTGACAGGAGGCTGAGCGGTGCGGGGAGGAGATGTCGGCCGCTCACAGCGCTCTCCTCCCGAGGCGCTCGGCCCCCTGTGACAGTTTCTCTCCTCCCAAAGAAATGTTACATGTTCACAGCAATGTTACATCGTCGCAGAACCCACTAAAAAGTAATGTGGCCCATTATCAGGCATGTCAGCAGACGGCATGTTAGAAGAGACACACAGGATACTGCCCTATAGAGGTGTATGGGGAGCTCCTGAGCAGGTGCAGCCAGGACACCAAAGACATGCAGCGCAGGATATAAACAAACAGCAGAGATTCTGGACTAGGGTACAGCCTCGTTCACACCATCAAACAATGCCAGTCACTGCCAGGGCACCTAGAAAACAATTCTATGTGTTCCGTTCACACCACAACATGGGTGTCATTGTGGTGTGAAAAAAATTTAGACATGCTGCATTTTTTTGGGGGGGGAGCGCACTAGATGGCAAAGCAGGTCACCACACTGCGCTGCTATGCAGATAACTGAATGGAGTTTACACTTGTGCAATCCAAATAGAAAAAAAAAGTAAACAATGTAATGTGCTGAAGAAGCAGCTCACACTGCCCTCCACTGGACCCGTCACTCAGCATATTAGCATGCAGGCTAGTGTGAATGAGCCCTAAGTATGTGTCTGGGGAGGGTGGGATAGGTTAGGTCAGGGGAGGTAAAAAAAAAAAAAAAAAAAAAGGATACATGCACTTAGCCCTTTAAAGTGACATTAAAGTAAAAAACTCGCCCCCCCCCTCCCCCCCAATGTTAATGAAAGAACTTACCTTAAATGATGTCTCTTAATACGATCTTCTTTCTTGTCCTTTTCAGCCTTCTCTCCAGCGCTGCTGCAGGTCTCCGATCCAGCGCTGACACCTCTGTCCTTGCTGGCACTTTCTGTCCCACACTGTCTGCATGCGGGTGCACGCATCCATATACTTACCTTGTGTCTCTCCTCGTTTCCCGGCCGAAAAACCGAACTGTGCATGCGCCCGCCCCAAGATGCTTTGCGGCTGCCCGAGCAGTTTCGGACGGGAGCGCGCGGGGAAGACAGTGATAAGTTTAAACCGTTATAGCGTTTTTTTTTTTTTACTTTTTGCATATATCTACTGCTTCCTAGCAGTAAATATATGCAAAAAAACATGAGGGTTAGAAACCCTTTAAGTATATTTTAACTTTTGCAACCAAATTGAGATAACACCTACTTTATATTGGATGCATGTTCCCAATCACATAGCAGAACTGAAAAATATTCAAATATTGCTGCTTACACTTTTTACTTAAAATAAAAAATCTTAGTTAACGTTCCCCTTCTATGTAATGTTAAGAAGGGGGCTTGGGAGTTAATGTTTACCATAATTAACCCTGTCTGTACTGTTCTGGCAGATCTTATTATCAGTAGTGATGAGCCTGGGATGGTGCAAACCCAGTTCACCCAAGCCCACTCAAAACTGTGACTGTCACACCTCCCTCCCAGCCCACTTAGTGGCAGCATTCCCTGCTCCTTTGCGACTAGTAGTTGCAGGGCGGGGAAAGCGCCTCTGACCAACTGACTGGGCCAGGAGGTGGGAATGAAGGGAGAACTCAGGCGAACTGGGTTTGCACCAAGCCCCAGCTTATCACTAATTATCAGTTGTAAGCTGGGTGTGCAGGACCACCTATCTAAACACAGGGTTACAAATCTCAGGGCATGGGTGCTACATTGTATGTTAATACACCTAAACTGTCCCTTAATTCTAAGTTATTCTAAGCAATAGATACCACCTGTAGAGTCGGATATATAATCCTGCTCCAAAAAAAAACAAAAACTAGAAAAGGTAAGAAATATTGTTTTATAATTATTTTTAGGTATGCTGTCTGAATAGGAACAAATACAGAGGGGGAGGGGGAGGAGGTACCTAAATTGAAGGGGGACTTCCTAAATTGGACAGTGAAGGGGGACATAAAATGTGCGTACTAACTGGGTATAATGTTATGGCACACAAAGCAAAAACAATGTTAAAAATAATTATCAGACAGCGCTGGTAATGATGAAGATGAATACATGACAGACTTCCTATAAAGTATTAAGAAATCCCCAGGACACAGCAGCAGCACCTTCCACCAGAGGGTGTCCTCCCACCTGCTGGCAGTCCACACACTCAGCTGTCAAACAATAGAGACAGACACCTCAGTATAGACCCTCCCACCACT